GTTCAGCAGCAACCTGACCTCAGTCCACTAGATGCCAGTAGCACCCTTCAACCCCCACCTGCTCTGCATTGTGACAGCCAAAATTGTTGTCAGACACTGCTCCATATGCCATGGGAGAACAACTGCCCCTTGTTGAGAATCACTGATCTAGGCTTTATTATTGTTTTATTTTTGCAATATATATTTTCGTGACTTATGATCTTTTATTGGTGGCAAGCAAATGGAGAAGAGTTTCTTATTCTAGAATAGTACTTGTTTTCTGTTTATAAGAAATGTAAGTTCATAGGAGTGATCGGAGAGAACATATTAAATAATCACGCCCCTTGAGCACTTTCTCAGGATTATCACGTGGTCCTGTGTGTGTCTGGGGGCTCTGCGGTCTCCAGCATTCTCAGGACCTTCTTGAAGCCTGACTTGTTTTTCCTTGGCCTCTCCTTGTCCTCTGGCTGACCCTCTTCTGCTTTCTTCTCCTGTGCCCCCAGAGGCAGATATGGCAGATTCTAGCAGTCTCCACTCCGAGGAGCCCCCATTTCCAGGCTCTCCCTGGAAGAAGAAATTGAGGAGTAAGGGTGAAGAAGAAAAGAAGGAAACGGTGGTTCTGTGAGTGAGGCTGTGGCACTTGAGCCTTGGGAACAAAAAAGGTGGTGGAGGGGTAAACTAAGGCAGGCAGAACACTTGGGTGGTTCCTGACAGGATTACAAGAAGGGACGGGAGGTGTGTTAAGGCTCAGGGAAAGCTCTTGGCAGAAGAGGATGACAGCAGACCCTCAGGACTGCCCACTGGAACAGAGTCTGAGATGGTAGTAATGTAGGCATTAAGGGTGTACATATAGAAAATATAAACTGATTTTTCTCTGTTCTCACAACATAGAATACTTCTGTAAGCTCAGATGTGTGGGAATTTTCCTCTCCACACAGCAAGCACGCAGTCCTGCAGCCAGACACCTGCTGGGCATCCTCTAATTCAATTCAATGCTGACACTACCGACCTGGAGAGAGCTTCAGATCCCATAAACTAAGGGCTCAATTCACAAAACTGCCCTCCCTAAACCCCGCAACTTCAGTGCCAATGGCAGGCCTCAGCTTGCCACCTGTGCTTCTCACCGACTGGCTATAAATCAGGTTCCCACAGAACTCAGGGTAGCTTATCAGTTTCTTATAGAGGATATTACAAGGGACACCGATGAAGGGATGAAGACATTGGGCTTCCGTGCCCTCCTGGCACACCACTCTCCAGTAACCCGCATGTGTTCAGCTCTCGGAAGCTCTTGGAACCTGTCCTTTTGGGTTTTTCTGGAGGCTTTGTTACATAGGCACGATCAATAACATCACTGGCCACTGCTGATCAACTTAACCTGTCCCTCTCCCATTCCCTGGGAGGGTGGGGGTGGTGGTGCTGAAAGCTCCGACCTCTAATCCTGCCTTGGTCTTTCTGGTGACCAGGCCAGACCCGAAGTTACCTAGGAGTGGCCAGCCTCAGCCAGCTGATTGGCTTACAGAAGGACATTGATCACTTTGGGGATTCCAGCTATTTTAGGATTGTCTGCCAGAAAGGAAGGGTGAGAGACATGGACAGATGACAGACCAAATACATAGTTTCCACTCTCACTGCGATTTAAACCCAGCAGCTGTCTCTCTTGCAGAACCAAGATAACGGTGGTAGCTGTGTCAGTTGCTGAGTAAACCGAGTTAACAAGTGCTCCGTGTCTGTCCCATGTTGTTGTACGTTTACCTGGGCAGGACTTATCTTAAAAACGAGGCATTTTCCTCCCTAATATTTGAATCATGTCAGTAGACATGTTCCTGACCTTCCCGTATAAACGGTCAAATGGATGTCACTGGGGGATGTTCCCTCTTGATGCTTGACTCCTTCTGTGGTTCTTGGTGGTCTATAGCCCATGAAGAGAGGTGTGGGGTCAGAGTCTCTCCTTCGCCTTCACCTTGCCCCCTCTCCTCTCTCTGTAGGGTTCAGGACACCTCTCCGTTGCCCACCCCTGAACCAAGGACCAAGAGCAGAAAGCACACTCGGGCACTCAGGAAGCTAAGGTGCTAAGGGCCGGGGGCTCTGGCTGGGATGGAGAGGGGCAGCTTGGGAGAGTGGATGACCCCACCTGACCCGAAGTCTTGTCTGTCCCCCAGGGAGGTGAACAAACGCCTCAAAGATCTCCGTTCCTGCCTGAGTCCCAAGCAGCACCAGGCCCAGGATGCTGACAACCAAGAGGATGAGGTGGTCCTGGTGGAAGGACCCACCCTCCCAGAGAACCCTAGGCTCTTCCCGCTCAAAATCAGGTGCCGGGCTGAAGTGGTCAGACTGCCTGTCAGAATGGTAGGTGCCCAAGGGCCCATGGGAGAAGGACCCAGGAGGCGCCTGTGGAGAGGCTGTGCTGTCTGGCAGGGGTGTACTGGCAGGAGGGTCTGCACCTCGCTTTTCCCATCCTGCTCTCTGGAGCTGCCACCCACTCTCAGTCCTCCATGCCTTTGTGCTTGCTGTACCCTCTGTATTTTTTCCACATTCTTCTCATTTTCTCTTGCTGATAAACATCCTACCCATTCTTTAAAGCTCCACTTAAGCATCCTGTCTTCTAAGAAGCTTTTATTGGTGGTTCCTCCTCGGGAAGTCCCTGCCCTGTTTCCTCCCTAGGACCAGAGTTCATCCAGCTTTCTGGCAGACTGATATATATATATATATATAAGACACTATTTATTTAAAACAGTAATTACTTTATTTAATTTTATTTGTTTTAATTTGCCCAGAGAGGGACAGAGTGAGAGAGTAAGAATAAGAGTGAGAGAGAGAGAGAGAGAGAGAGAAAGCAAGACGCCAGGTCTGGGATTAGAACCATGGTCGGCCACATGGGAGTCCAGCGCCCTTAGCTACTGTGCCACCTGCTGGCCCCTTTTCTGATATTTTTGAGGGATGGCCCGGGTTCAACACCAAGAACGAGAACAGGAATTTCCATTTAGTGAGCACTGTGTTGGTCAAGCAGCTAAGCCAGAGGTTGCGAACTGGCAGCCCATGGCCTTTTCAATGCATCTGCTTCCTCTACTCTGTAGAGGGCTTTAACCTGCATGAGCTTGTTGCCAGCCTTGAAAATGGATGATTTCATACAAAGGGCCAAATTTCTGGCTTCTCCTAAGCCGCAGAGGAGGTAGCCAATCTGGCCCACGTTCCCATGTGGTCCCAGTCAGCTGGGGCTATGTCATGAGCTGGCCTGTTTAGATGGGCATGGGAATTCTAGCTTGCTACAATCCCCACCACTTCCTTTTTCCTGCTAACCCACAGCTGCTTCATTTCTTCATATTACTTGCCCAAACCTCTTATTGACATGGTTTTATTCTGTATCTTGCCAGGTAAATATGAAACTCACAGCTGAGGAGCACCTAGCAAGTAGCTAAGACCAGAGACTTGTGTTTAGGGTGGTGGGTTGGGGCAGGGTGGAAGTGGGAATATCAAGGCCTCCTTTGCTTCTTGTCCTCCTCCTTAGTCGGAGCCCCTACAGAGTGTAGTGGATCACATGGCCACTCATCTTGGGGTGTCCCCAAGCAGGATCCTTTTACTCTTCGGAGAGACAGAGCTGTCCCCTACTGCCACTCCCAGGACCCTAAAGCTTGGAGTGGCTGACATCATTGGTGAGAGAGGAGGGTAGGGAGGTAGGGCCTCAAGGCTTTTGCCATGGGAAGGGGCTATGGGGAAATGTCCAGGGTGGGTCCTGCTTTCAACTCCCCACTTAGGCCTGGTTTCCTGATCCTGCCTCCTACAGACTGTGTGGTGCTCACAAGTTCTCCGGTGGCCACAGAAACATCCCAACAGCTCCAGCTCCGAGTGCAGGGAAAAGAGAAACACCAGATGCTGGAGGTCTCGCTGTCTCAAGTGAGTGGGAGAAGTGGCTCTCCATGCCCCTCTCCCATTCCTCTGTGTCTCTTTGTTATCAGTTCATGGGGAATGGATTCCCCCGAGCCTTACTTGCTAGAGACACCGCTGTTCATATTCTCGGGTTCCCACCATCCTAGGTTGTGTTCAACTTTCCTCTCTTTCTAGGAACCTCTGCTCTAGTCTGTGTGTCCCTTCCTTCTTTCTCTGGTTAAAATGGAAAGGACCTTGACAATAATAAAACCCATCAAAATAACAAAGCCACACTTAGGAGTGCCAGTCCTTGTGCTGAAGATCTTACTTCACACCAGGGTCCTAAATTTCACACTAACCTTATACAAACTAGCCTGTGGTTATCCTCATTCAATAAATAAGGAAGTGGAGGTCTAAGGAGACAGAATAACTTGCTATATTAGTTTTTTTTTTTTTTTTGAGAGGTTTTCTCTATAGGGCGTGTGCACTCGCCAGACAGAGAGACAGAGAGACAGAAAGCGAGAAATCCCCCCCCGGGGGGATGGCCACGCTGCAATCCCTTCTCCTCCATTCTCCTCTCGGGATCTTGGGCACGCACGCACACGTGCCCGGCGTGAGTTTTTTTAAGCCACCGGGTCCAGGACGTGAACCGTGGTTGACTACATGGGAGTCCAGCGACATAGCCATTACACTAATGGCTGGTCTCAGTTTTTTTTTTTCTTTTAAAGAATTATTTTATTTAACCATACCCATTTATTTATTTATCTTAATTTTACCAGAGAGGGATAGAATAAGAGAGAAAGAGAGAAAAGGACAGAGATGGAAAGAGAGTGAGAAAGCAAGCTGCCAGATCTGGGACTCGAACTGCAGTTGACCATGTTGGAGTCTAGCACCCTTAACTGCCATGTCACCTGCTGACTCCAACTGTATTAGTTTTTTTATGTCAACTGTAAAAAAACACCACAATCTGGGTGGCTTAAAACAGCAGAAATCTATTTTACAGTTCTGGAGGCTAGAAGTCTGAAATCGGTGTCCTCAGGGCCTGGGCTCCTCTGTCCGGGTGGAACCTTCCTTAGCTTCTTTTAGTTTCTGGTTCCTTGGCTTGTAGCTGCATCACTGCAGTCTCTACCTCTGTCATTGCATGGTTTCCTCCATCAGTGTTTCGGTCCCTGTGTTTTTGTTATATAACGACATAAGTCATATTGGATTAGCATACACCCTAATCAAGCATGGCCTCAACCTGATCACATCTTCAAAGCAAATGGTTGTCTAGTTACACTCGTGGCTAATTCCAAAGCTTACTCAGGATAGCCTGAGAATGTTCCAAATCACCACATTCTGCCTATTTTATGCTTAACATCCTTCCCTCTATTTCTTCTTCTTTTTTTAAATTTAATTTCCCAGAGGGTTTGCATGCTCACTAGAGAGAAATACAGAGAGCAGGAAAGGGAGAAAGCACCTCCCAATGGGGCATGGTCATACAACAGTCCCTTTTCCTCCGTTTCTTTTTTTTTTTTTCCATTTTTTGGAGAGGTTTTTTTTGCTATAGGGCGCATGCGCTCGCCAGAGAGACAGAGAGAGACAGAGAGATAGAAAGCGAGAAATCACCCCTCAGGGGGGATGGCCACACCACAATCCCTTCTCCTCCATTCTCTTCCTGGGATCCTGGGCATGCACATACACGTGCCTGGTGTGAGTTTAAGCTGCTGGATCTGAGACTCGAACCATGGTCGACTACATGGGAGCCCAGCAACATAGCCATTACGCTAACTGCTGGTCCCTCCTCCATTTCTTCACCATGTAGGGATTTTGGGGCGTGCATACACATATACCAGGCGTGTTTTTCAAGATGCTGGGACCAGGATTTGAACAGTGTGTTTGGTCATGTGGGATCCAGCTGCCTTAACCACGGAGCCAACTCTTCTATTTATTTATTTTTGCACTTTGTGATAAGCAGCAAGGAGAAATCAGGCCTTACCTTCCACAACGTTGCTTAGAAATTTCCCTCAGCTAAGGCCAGCCCTGTAATTCAGTGGTTGAGTGTTGTGGAGGAAGCTGGAGCCCACGTGACTGACCACAGTTTGTATCCCAGCTCCATTGTCTTGAATATCACTCCAAGTGTATGTGTGCCTGCATGGTTGCCCAGGATCCTGACAGGAAGGAGAAATGGAGAAAAGCGGATGTGATATGACCATGCCCCACTGGGGGGCGCTTTGTTTCTCTCTCTGGTGCACACATGGGCTTCATGGCATTAAAAAAGAGAAACATGGGGGGACCAGCAGTTAGCGTAATGACTATGTCGCTGGACACACTCACGTAGTCGACCACAGTTCCAGCCCTGGACCCAGCAGCTTAAAACTCATGCCAGGTGTGTGTGTGCATGCCCAAGATCCTGAGAGGAGAATGGAGGAGAAGGGATTGTGGCATGGCCAGCCCCACTATGGGGTGATGTCTCGCTTTCTGTCTGTCTTTCTCCGATGAACACACATGCCCTATAGCAAAAATTTCTCTCTACAAAAAAAGAAAGAAAGAAACAAAATATTATGTTCCTGACATTTAGTGAAAAGGAAGAAAAAACATTTTCAGCTAGATATCTTAAGTTCATTCCTTGTGAGTTTTTCTTTCTGCCATTGAACAGTATAAAGTAATTCAGCCACGTTCTCTGCTAGTTTATAACCACTGTTTACTCCAGTTTCTGATAACACGTTCCTCTTCCCACTAGAGACCTTATCAGAAGCACCTTTAATGTTCATTTGTCTTGCAACCTGTTTGTGACAGTTTATGTACAGTCACGTGCTGCGTCAGGAGTGTACTGCATATGTGACATACAGCCTAGGTAGTACAATTTAGAGTTATGAGTACACTCCATGATGTTTACATAATGAAATTTTCTAATGACACATTTCTTAGAACATAACTTGTTAAATAACCGATGACTGTATTTTAAGACATTAGAAACTTTCTCTACAGCTTTTGTTTTTTGGGTTTTTTTTGAGAGGTTTTCACTATAGGGCGCATGCGCTCACCAGACAGAGAGACATAGAGACAGAAAGCAAGAAATCACCCCCCAGGGGGGATGGTCACGCCACAATCCCTTCTCCTCCATTCTCCTCTTGGGATCTTTTTTTTTTTTTTTTTTTGGTGGGTTTTTTTCTTATAGTCGCCGTGG